AAGGTCTTGCTTGCAGCAGGTGTATCTTTACAGTCAGGAGTGTAATTATGTCCAATTCATGGAAGAGGAGGGGAAAAATACATCTGGATATATTGAAGTTGTCTTTTGCATCCTTAACACTAATTTTTTCAATCTTTTAATTTCATCCAATTTCTTAACTATTCCTTTAGATTTTCTTCATGCAGTTAAATACTTATGAACATGTTTAATGTGCATAAGTAAAAGGCTTAAGCTTAAGCTTGTGAATTGATAAATCCATGAAGTCAGTGCCGCTCACTGTGTGCTTTAAGCAGCATTTTTTGTCATAAGACATAGTACCTTGTATGTTTCTCGTGTGATTCAGGAATTCAACAAAAATTGAGTGAAAATATGCACTGTGACCAATCTCGAAAAATATAAAGACATCAGATAATCTATGGACTCAAATCTGCATAGAGATTTGCATCAATTAACTAGCTGTAACTAAGTATTTCCAGAGACTCTGTTCAGTAAATTTGCCATTTCGTTACGTTGGAAATTTTGGAAAATTTGATACAGTCTTAGTGGATAGGAACAGTAAGCAAAGCAAAGCCAGAATTACTGGTTCTTTTCCCTTCTCACTGAGTGCAAAAGAATTTTTAATAGTTTATGGCACTGTTAGAAGTTTTAGTTTTCTTTTTTTTTAAGTAACTAGAATGATCATTTACATTTGGGAAAGTTTTTCAAATCTAATATATGCAAAAATAAGATTTTCAGTTTTTTAATTATTGTTTTCATACCATTACTTCAGCATAAGCCCTTTTAGGTATCCATCCTACTTTCCTTTGTTCAGTATTACTTTTGAATTTAATCAATGTACAGCATTTAATCAGCATTAAACCTCTTTAAAGATAATTAAGGTTAAGAGTAAAGGTGATGTAGCACTATTTTTCAAGTAAAACTTCAAGAGGCAAACTGGAATCTGAAAAAGTTGCATTTATTGTTTCAATGAATAAGGTTATATGTTCTGTGGTAGCCCAAAGCTCTTTTTGAAGTATTTTGGTTTTAGTGTTGCTTCATTTTACTCATAGTGACTGATAATTTTAGAGTAGCCTTTCATAAGCAGCTTTGCATATGAGGATGTTGCCAGTGGGAGAAAGTTTCACAAAGTTTGGAAGATTTTACTTAATATTTTTGTCATGTAGGTTGAATGTGATTTCAAGGAAACATCAATAGATGTCTGGAGATTTTTTTGTCTCCAAATAGTTTTTGCGTCACTTTGTTTCTAATATATTTCTAAACTATATTGTAAATTCTGCATTGTAGTGACACACCCTCTACAATTTCGTTTATTATAGACATATTTTTGAGTAACCATCATTGATTTTAAATTATAGACCATTGTCTAAACACTGTCTTTTATCACAGACATACAAGCATAGCCATGATGGTGGCAGCAGGTGTCCAGCTGATTGGTTTCGTACGCAGCATAATGCACTTCTAGAAAAAATTCTCTGGTTGTCCCAAATGTTGCATTTGTTTCAATTCACAGAGTGTTTGGTATTGACCACATAATGCTCCTTCTCTCACTTACCTATGTGGACAGCCTTGATTGTTTTTCAAGATTCTGCGAGTAGGACATAATTGCTTTGTGCTCTTAAGCTATAAAATTTATTGGCTAACACACATGCGGTGGCTGGGGATACTGCAGTATTCATCACCCCTGTGGAATGAGCAACGGGTCTTTGCTGACCTGGCAGTCAACAGTCCTGGGGGAAAGGTTCAGCCTCCACTGCTCCATAGAAGACAAGGGAATTGTCTTCTGTGCTGCCAAGTTACAATCTTCCATTTACCCAGTTTTCTTCCTTGAGGTTTTATACTTTTTCATATTACTGCTTTTCCTTTTTAAGCCTTGAGCTGCTAAATAGTGTTATTTCAAGAATTTTAGCTGTGTCTAGAATTTAGTCTTTCCTTTTTTGCATGAATGCTAGTCTACATATTTTCTTATAACTTTTGTAACAATGCAGCAGTTTTCTCAGAAGACTTAGACAATGTTGCAAAACTCTGCTGCTGTGTCATTATGCAGCGGATCACAGATAGCTGAACATCCCGGAAAATGGTAATACCTACCTACCTGCCCACAAATCTTCATCATGCACTCTCCCATCAGGATCTTATATTTCACACAAATATTTTCTAGTTCTTGCCCTATATTTTTATGTTGCCACCTCTCACAGAAATTTTTCCAAATTAATTTCTTACATTTCCACATCTCTTTGTTTACTGTGCTTTTTCCTATATTGCTGTTTCCAGCTGATCTCCCCAAAAGCAGCAGCTGCTTTGGCTGCCCAGCAGAGCCAGCAGCACAGGGCCCCAGGAAAGCAGGGCTGCTGCTCCCCACATGTGCTGTCCTCATCACCCCTGTGGCTGGCAGATCAGCTGACTGCTACTTGCTGAAGAGCAAACAAACACATCGGCCGTGCTGCAGGGGGTTGGAACCTGAATCGACTGTGACCCCCACACAGAGAGTGTAGTGCCTGAGGATTGGATTCCTAGGGTTTTCCTCCTGAAGGAGGCTGAGGACACACTGTCCTTGTGTTTCACCTTGTTTGGCTGCTCTAGGTTCTACACTGATTCCAGTTTCAGGAACTATTGCAGTACTTGTAAGCAAGGTCTGCTTCTCCCTTCTTCACCAGTGCCATACATTGTGATGTATTAATGCTGCCTCTTGCCGCTGTTACTGGCAGCATTAATACATCACAATGTATGGCACTGGTGTGCCCTAGGATAGTCTGCTTAGGGGTCCACAAAACAGAAAGTCTTTTGTACTAATTTTCCTTGGTCAGCTTCACTTCACTTGAGAGCACTTATACTGGAGGACCAATCTGATCTCGTTTAAAATCCCTGAAACTTACAATATGGATATAAGGAGCCTCATCATCAGCTGCTTTTTTTCATGTCCTCTTTCTCTTCTGCCTCTTCACACATGCTTTTTGTATCCTGGTTTTCAGCTGAGATAGGATTAATTTTCTTCTTAGTAGCTGGTACAGTGCTATGTTTTTGATTGAGTATGGGAATGATGTTGATAACAAACTGATATTTTAGTTCTAGGTAATAGTGCTTTCCCTAAATCAAAGACTTATCACTGTCCCATGCTCTGACTGCAAACAGGTGCATAAGAAGTTTGGAGCGAGCATGGTCAGGAGAGGTGACCCAAACTGGCCAAAAATATATTCCAAGGCAAAGAAATATTCCATCCCATAAAACGTCATCCTTGAAATATAAAGTGTGGGGAATTGGCTGGGAGGTGTCAGTTGCTGCTTAGGGATGGGCTGGGCATCAGTCAGCAGGGGATGAGGAATTGTATCGTTCTTCACTTGTTTCTCTTGGGTTTTACTGCACACTGTCTCCTTTCCATTACTATTATTATATTATACTTCAATAATTAAACTGTTTTTGTCTCAACCCATTATTTTTTTTTTATGTTTTTTGTTTCAAGTCTTCTCCCCATCCCTGGGGGCTGGCATGGGGTAGAAGAATGGGGTTGGAAAGGATGGTTGAACAAGTGGCTGCATGGTAAATAGTTGCCAGCTGCGGTTAAACCATGGCAGCTTGCTGATACAAACAATGCTTAAAATTTCTCCACTCACTTCTGAGTCAATCAGACACTGTGGACAAGGCATGCATCCTTTGAATTCATCCTTTTCTTCTTTACCTCAACTGGAATTTCAAACTCACCCTCTTCCTTCTTTCTGGATTTCAAAGATGCTTCCACTTTTTTAAAACAGCCCAATGGCCCTAACATAAGCACTGAATTAAAAATTGTTCACATTTTTCACTATTGGTGTATGTATTATTAACATCTCAAATAGAAGTTTAGTAATGAGATGCCCACACCAATGTTCATCACCTCTACCAATGTATGTACCCAGAACAGATTACTTCGGATTGCTTTGTGACAGATTTGAACTGTTGTAATTCCATTAAATTTCTGTATGTAGATGTCTTATCCATGCCAGCTATTAAAAATTATATGCATGATTTTAAATATAAAGTAGGATGAGAAGTGGGATAAAGACCTCCAATGCAACTTGTAACATGATTTTTAAAATAAATAGAGAAATATTTCTTAAGTATTTACTAATGAACTATAATTTTTATCTGCAAAAAGAATGATGAACAATTTCTTTTTAAAAAAAGTGCTATTTTTAACAAAGGCACATTTGCAGTAGCAACAGCTAAATTGCAGAAATCAAGAATATTCTGTCTTTTCTTTCTTTTTTACTTCTATTTTTGTTTCTCATAATACTGTCTTTGTTAACATTGATGGCATTCTTCTAAATCTCAAGCTGTGACCTTAAAGGTCATGTATAAGCCTAATAGGCCTTCTTTAATACTATCAGTCTTTTAAGGATAAGAGCCTTAATTTTAATTAATTTATGCATTTCATGAGATAAACATCCTTAAATTTCAACTAAAAAAAAAGTTAAAAATTTGGAAGCTAGTGAATACACCTCAAAAATGTCATTGTTTGTACCTGTGGAGATTTGATTGAAGTTTCATGGCATTATGCCCATTAACTTTGTAAGGCAGGAAACATGCAAACTGGAGATCAAAATAATGTTATTCTTAGGGACAAAACTAACTCAAACTTAATGTTAAAGAAATGTATTAAATTTTAGTCACAACCTCTTTAATTACAGCAGTCCCTGTTCCCCTTTTGTGGAAGAATAATGAAAAGTGTGAATCACATTTTCCACATAATTTATTTAAATCCTTCATTAGTGAGAATTGACATTTGTATTCCATACTAAACAAGATCTTTATGCTTGGAAAGTAGCTCTCTTAATTTGTTTAAAATTGATAGGAATCTATTACCTTTTTTGGATGAATACTGATTGCTCTGCCATTGGTATTTTCACAACCAAATCAGATTCAAATGAGGATTACAAAGAGTGTGATAAAGCAATTGCTGGAAGAGAATATAGCATTTTTTTCAGTACTACTATCAATTAAAATCTACTCCTTCTGTAATCCCACAGCTGAACAGACAGGAATGTTATTTATAGGAGATGCAATAATACAGGTCAGTAAATATTCGCTTTTTTCCACAGACATTTGTTTCATACTTGCTTTTATTTCAGTAACTAACTTCACATTACAAATCATTTTCTCCCTATCGTATCTGTTTTTAGGTTAATGGTATAAATGTAGAAAGTGCTACCCATGAAGAAGTGGTAAGTCATTCCACTTTGATTTTTTTATTGGTGTACAAAATATCTTATGTCCAAACTGTTCTGTCTCTGGTCTTGTTTGAAGTGAATTTACCCTTTTTTACTATAAAGACAGTGCTATTGTTAGGTTTATAATATATTTGATTTTTAAAACTTTTCCAGTTACTTAATTCCATTTTGAAATAAAATTTACCACAATGTTTAGTCTAATCTGAAACAAAATAATTTCTTGAGTAATGGTCAGGTTTTATGGATTTCCTTCATTTATCAGACTGACTGTATGAGGACAAAGCCAGTTCACATTCACTTGATGTGCAGTGCTTTTCTGGGCACAGTGCAAGGCCATGTAGATAAAAATTGTTACCCCTGTTGCCTGTTTATTGGCAGTATCTCAGAATAACATCTGTAGCAACCACAAATGACATGGACTTTGGCTGTGTCTTATCAGCAGGGCAGAAATTACATGGGCAAGGAAACTAAACTTGCTTTTATTACTTGAAGGTGATCTCTCTAGGTCAGAATAAAGTGCAGGTGCATGATCTTGCAGTCCTTTTATTAGTGTTGATTAATACCATCAAGCTGACTCTGTAACACAGACAGTGTCAGTAATAGATCTATTGTGTATTGGTGAACTGCCCTCCTGCTGCTTGTGTTGTTATTGCACAGAAAAAAATTAAACTTCCAAAAAGCTACTCCTCACAAAATGGTAAGTTACTTCCCTTAAGGATTGTTTGTAAAAACTAAGAAGTGCTCCACAACTGTCAGTGTAATGCAACAGAGATGAGGAATGAAAGAGAAATGCATAGTGCTGCTCCTGCTGTACATGGGAATTCAGTGGAAGCATTAAGCATAAGTGCTACTACCACAGTCTGTTACTATGATCAGAATGGGGATAGAAGAATGTGTCAGGCAATAGAGAAAATAACTGGTTCTATGAGAGGAGGTGAGCTGTTGACAAAGCTCCTGAGAGAATGGAAGATTTATTATTTCTTCTTTCAAAATTATGTCGTTCTATTTTTATGAAATAATGGTTGAGATAAAGTCCTTTTTGTTTGAATATGATGGGTTTGCAGTTTGAAGGAAATGATTTAAGAAGGTTCGGGCACCAGAAATACCTCTGAAGAAGGTATATAACATATTAAGCTTGTTACACTATATTAAGCTAGTAATATAGTAATATAATGATTATGGGTAGTTGTCCAGAAAGCAGAAGGTTAAGGATGAAGAATTAATCTAAATTTTAGAAAATCATACCTACATCTTGTCTCTCTGTAAAGGATACCCTGTTGTTGCTGCCCTAAATGTTAGTGCCCTAAATGTCACTCAGATTAAATGAGGGGTGCTCCAGCCCTTCTGTTCAAAGCACACTCATCAATGAGGCTTGAACATTTTTAATCCACTCTGGGTTCAAGTTTACACAGCCTTATAAACATAATACAGTGTTAACATAATGCAATGGAAGCCTGTCAAAGGTTATTGAGTCATTCTTTTGGTTTGCTCTATATGCATCTGGCACCATGGTCTCTTACATATTCAGCTTCAAGGTGGGATTCCTGAAACACCCTCCTGAAATACAGTTTGAAGGCATTTCTTGCTGCTTGCATTCTGGGGGCAGGAGGCCTCTTTTGCAAACATCTAACTCAAGGTTATGAGTTGTACTGTGTAATCCAAGGGATTTTGTGGTGGGTCTAGGCTGAGGCTACATTAGTTTTCTTTGTAGCAGCCAGTATGGTGGTGTAGTTTTGTTCATGACTAAAACAACGCTAGTACCATGCCAGTGTGCCTGTTATTGCTAAGCAGTGCCTGTAGGTCATCAAAGCTTTATTTTCCTCAGTTTTTCCCCTCTCTATGAGTAGGCTGAGAGTGGCCCAGAAGTTTTAAGGGGATACAACCAGGGAAGCCTATCTGAACTGCGCAAAGAGATATTCCATACCATATAACATCATGCTCTGCAGTAAAAATTGTGGGGAGTGTTTTCTGCAGGAAGCAGCCATTGCTCAGAGACTGGATGGGCATCAGGAGGTTGTGACTGATTTCCTTTGCATAATTTGTTTTGGTTTTTATCTTTGTCTTTATTTAAGTTACTAAATTGTCTTTATCAGAAAACTGTCATTATCATGAAGGTTTTGTTCCTTTGTGGTTCCTATTCTCTCCCATCCTGCCAATGGGGGGGAATGGGAGTCAACCCACCACAGACTGCTGAAAGTGATGCTGCTGGCAAAGGTAGAGATTCTGGATTACTCTGCTAGTCCAACCATAGTGATAAGCCATTAAGGGGCAGAAACAAATATGTTTCTTACTTTTTTTAGTGTTGAACTGATGGGGTTTTTTCTCTTTTTTTCTCTTGTTGTGGTTTGATTATTTTATTTTTTGAATTGTAACTAACAAATGTTTTCAAAAATTTTCTTTCTGTTTTTATTTTGTTTGTTTCACAATGACATTCCTTGCTGTTCAGAATTTTCCTCTGCTTTTACTTTCTGCCATTTTAGAATGTCTGCTGGTTCCCCCTTGCAGGATGTGTGGAGGTGCACTCAGCACACGCTCAGAAAACATTTATTTAACAAAACTGAAGCTTAAGTGTAATTGTACATCAGTATGGCTCACAGGTGTTAAAGATCTAAAACCCATTGGGGTTAATATATGGGAGAGAATGCTACAAAATCTGAGAACTTTAGGAAAGGAGGCCAGTTTGTTCTGTCTCCTACCTACCATCTTCCCTCCTGAGATGTTTATGTAGTTAGCTGGTCCTGATTGTACCAAATAGATAGTTTTGTTTCTTGATCCTTGAACTTCAGCAGTGTTAAAAGGTGATTAGTTCTGGGCAAGCCAAACAATTAGCTACTCTGTCAGCAACAATTTAACAATGAACTGGCTCTCCTGTTTTTCCCTTCTGATACTAGAATTTGGTTTTCTCCACAATTGTTCAAGCTGCTACTATCACACATTAGCTCTGGCTAAGGGTATGGATAGAATAAATAATTCAGAATCGGTGCCAAGAAAAATTCTGCTTTTGTAGTAGGTAATACAATAGTGTGGAAAATTGAAAATAATTTCTTTTCCTTGAAAGTTTAAATTATTTTCAGAAATAATCTACTAGTGTGGAGAATGCAGAAAATGTTAATTCAGAGATTAATATAGTTTCTGCATTGTGTATCAGAGAGGCAATTTAATTTTCCTTCCCTGGTGGGTAATCAGGTTGTCAATGTGCGTAACATGAAAGGAGCAGTCAGATCTCCTGAGTGGAGAGAAAGAGGGAAACAGGGATAAAGGAGTATTTTGGTGGAAGTTCACAGAAGTGTACCACTTGATGTTTTTTGGCTGGGACTTCAATTTTCAAGATATTCACAATAAACTGTGAAAGGAAATGAAACATGAGGTGGCAGTTTTCTGATTCAACAGGATTTTTTAGATTCATAGAGTCACAATATGGCTTATTTGGAAGGGATCTTGAAGATCATTTGCTTCCAACAGATGATCTGTTGTTGTGGGCAGGGACATTTTCTATTACACCAGGTTGCTCAAAGTCCCATCCAGCCTGGCCTTGAACACTTCAGGGATGGGACATCCTCAGTTTCTCTGGCAACCTCCTCCAGTGCCTCACCACCTTCACAGTAAAGAATTTCTTCCTAATATCTAATCCAAACCTCCTCTTCTTGCATTTAAAACTGTTCTCCTTTGTCCTATCACTACATTCCCTTGTAAAAAGTCCCTCTTCAACTCTCTTGTAGCCCCCTTTAGGGTCTGGAAGTTCTCTCCTGGGTTTGCTCCTCTCCAGGTTGAACAACCCCAACTCCCAGAGCCTGTCATCACAAGAGAGGTGCTCCAGCCCTCTGAGCATCTTCATGGCCCACCTGATAATCGCAGGGCTGAACAGACTTCTTGACATTTTGTGGTGTGAGTCTGAGTACTTTTATCTCCCTGTTCTTAGTGAAAAAGAAAAATAAGATTTAGAAATATTTTTGTGAGTCCCCGAGGTAAGCACTGCCCTCTGCTGAAATGCACTGGAAGTACCAGCTTGTTTCCCCCATAAGCAAATTGTAGGAAATGTGATGAAAAATCATCCCTGTTGCCTTTCAAAGGGTCATTGCACAGGGTTCTACATAATCTCTCATGAAGGCTGTTTTATATGGATCCATGATTAGTTCAAATGTAATTTTGTATGAAATTAATCCTATTTCAAGGATTAATAAATTGATTAACTAGAAAATGCAGGAGAGGGTGTTTAGTTATACAAAAATGGAAAATCAGGTGTTGCATGTTATTTTTTTCATACTATATCTTATTAATGTATTTTATACATTAATATAATTTACATTATAGTAAATTAGTATGTTTGACACATTTTTAGTATTCCACACAAATCTTAATCTCTTTGGAATATTGCTCAGTGATACAGGAAAGTACTTGGAAACATATATTTCTTTTTATTTACAAATATTCTCACAGAAGGACATGGCTAAATAAACAATATCCATTGAAACAGAGAATCCATTCAGTGGGAATAATTTTAGATTTTCAGAATTTGAACAGTTTTTAGTCAATAGTAATTAATTTTTAAAAAATATTTAGTACTTCAGATGTTTACTGTAATGCTGTTTAATGTGTCATGGGCATGTCTGGCTGGCACTGCTGAACATGTTCTTCATTAGGCTGATTAATTGAGATACAAGGATTGAACCTGAAAATTGTTTATTTTCATTGAGATACTGAGATTTTATTTTCATTTGTGCATTAGCTATTTTGGAATTGAAGTTCTCTGCATGTTCTTCTGGAATTCAGTTCCAAACGGTGGAGCACAGACTATGAATTTTATCCATATAATATCAGAAAAAAAGAGCTCAAATAGAAAATATAGTGGAGAATACATAACTAGAATAAGCACATCATGGTTAGCTACTCAACAAATATATCAAAACTAATAAAATAATAAAAAACATAGAGCTAGAGTAATGGATTATTAAAATAAAATAATAAAAATAATTATAAAATAGCTTTTCAAATAG